CTACCGCTGTCTCGGTGGTGCCTTCGAAGACATCGTAGAGGCTGGAGAGGAGGTCGTCAGCTACGGGAGTCCGTGTCTCCTGACTCGGCGGGATGATGTCGCAGACGGCCAGGTTGGAGAAGACTTCTCTTAGCATGGGCGGAAGTGTAAACTCCGCCAGAGCCCGGGCCGCGTCAGATCGTCTGACCGTGGGCGGGATCCGAAACTCCTCCTGCGCAGTGGTGAGCTTGACAAAGTCACGCCACTGCAAATCCTCGGCCGTGTCTAGCGTCCCCGCGTCCTGCGGGTGTGCTTTGTACTCGGCCAGAGGTGGTCGGCGGCCCATGATGTGCGCGTGGGTGAGCGTCGGCGACGGAGCTCCAACGTCGAAGATCGCTTTCTCTCCAGGCTGTCTTCGCAGGAAGTAGTGTCCTCCTCNGGCTAGCTTTGCTGTGAGCCCAGGTTGGTGTCGCCAGCTTGTCGCTTGCACGCGACGACAAAGGTCCGTTGTTGTCCAGTGGGCACTCCGACACACGCAGCCGAGATCGTGGCCTCCTCCACCGAGCATCGGCTCCGCTCCAAGCGTGGTCGTAGAGTCTCTCTCCACTCGGTCGTTCCCACAAACCGCGCCGGGCACTCCAGCACCAAGAGTGTTGCCCGGCTGGACAGGAAGACGTCGGTGATGTCTGTCGCATGTCTGTTCGCTGTGCTGCCCGTGCGGTCGGGGTCGTACCGGCGGCACGCGTTGTCGATCAGGATCTCCGGTTTGGCGTGAGCGATGGCCTCCTTGCACTTGGAGCTCGCTAGCGATGTGCGCACCAAGTTGACGTTATAGCTCCAGTCGTTGGCGCGTGCGCATTCGATGGCCGTCCAATCCGGATCAATCGCCGTTTGCACGTCGAGCATCTCTCCTAATGCCAACAGGGAGCCCCCAGCGCCACACCCCAAGACTGCGGCGCGGGGGCGTTTGGGTGTGAAGGCCTCGCGCGTTTCCGCGTAAGCTGCGAGCCTTGCGTGGTCGCCTGGTTCTGGCGTCTCCAGTCTGTGTTGCAGTGCCCAGAGGACCGGCAAGGACAAGGCGGGGCCGGATGCCACTTCCGTTGCCCCTAGTGTTGCCAGCTTGATGCCATCGAGTGACGGCGTGCTCCCTGCAAGTTCTCCGCTGCCGACGTCGGCGGGCTTGGGAGGGGGTGCTCGGTCGTCGTCGTCCCGTACCAGGCTCTGGAGTGGAACTCCGTCGAGTACTGGTCCCAGCGGGTCGCGGGTGCCGTCTGAAGGCCGCGAGTTGTCGTCAGGGAACGTCGTGTCGACAGGCGGTCCCGGCGGACCCTTCTGTGGGAGACGGGAGAGCGCATCTGGGATGGTGTGCTCGGTGCCCTTGCGCCATTGGAGGGTCATTGTGAACTCCATCATGCGCAGGGCGTATCTGTACATCGTGGAGGACAGGTGTTGGCTCTGGAAGAGCCAGGTGATGGCCGAGCAATCCGTGACGAGCGTGAAAGGTTGGTGCAGGAGGTAAATCCTGAAGTGCTCCAAGCCGAAGAGTGCTGCCCGAACCTCGCGATCGGTGGGTGCACGCTTCGCTTCCGACTGGGTCCACCTGTGGCTGCCGAAGCCAATGGCGGTGTCATGGTCCTCCACCACTTGGGTGAGCACCGCGCCAGCTGCGCGCTCGCTCGCATCCGTGTGAAGGGTGAACGGCAGCTCCCAGTCCGGCGGCAGTAGCACTGGAGGCGACACCAGGGCTCTGATGATGGCGTCATGGGCGGCGTCCTGCTCTTCTCCCCAAGGGATGGCTAGGTTCCTCGCCCGCTTGGTGCTGAAATCCTTGTTGCGCAGGATGTCGGTGAGGGGTGCCACGATGGCGCTGAAGTCCTTCACGAAGTCCCGCAGGAAGTTGGCCATCCCGACGAACGACCTCAGCCCGCCCACCGTAGTGGGCTTCTCCATCTCCGTGATTGCCTTGATTTTCGACGGTGGTGGTCGCACACCAGACCTCCCAACCATGACGCCGAGGAACTCTACCTCCTGCATGCAGAACAGGCTCTTGTCGAAGTGGACGGAGAAGCCAGCTTCCTGCAGCAGTTTCAACACTTCGTCGATCTTCTTGAGGTGCTCCTCGAGGGTCTCGGAGTGGATGAGGATGTCGTCGAGCCACCTCTCGATGCCACCCTTGCTCTCGGTCGGCCGCAAGGTGTCCCCCAGGAGGGCTGAGAAGACGGCCGGAATGGTCGTCAAGCCAAAGCTGCACCTGGTGAATTGGTACAGCCTCCCGCGGGCGTCCCGGAATGCAGTCTTGGGCCTGTCCGAGGGCTTGATCGGGATTTGGTGATACGCCTGGGGAAGGTCGAGGAGTGTGAACCACTTGCTCTTCCTCACCCTGTCATGCATCGACGCCAGGTTGCCGATTCCGCCGCTGTTCTTGACCGTCAGGTTGTTGAGTGGACGGTAGTCCAGCGTCATCCGCGTTCCGCCGTCCTTCTTCGGTTGGAGCGAAACCCGGGAGCACCACTGAGAGTCGGCATACTCCACGATCCCCTGTTCGTGTAGTTTGTCAACGGTGCTGTTGAGAATGTCCTGAGACTGCGGGGGGAGCCGTTGCTGCTTGCAGGCGATAGGTGTCGCATTTGGGTCCTTGAGAGGGATAGAGACTTCCCGTCCATGGATCTGCTTCAGCGGTGCACCCTTCACCGGAAACAAGCCCTTGTCGGCCTGCGCCCTGATGATCTTCAACAGAGTGGTGCGAGCGCGAGGGCTGAGAGGGCCCGTGTTGATCTCGTCCACTTTGATGGTGTCTGATGGTTCAGGGCTGGCCTCCACCGTTGGTGGGGGCTGTGGCGGTGGCTCCGGAGTGATCGCCGGTGGAGCAGGTTCCTTGAGTAGGAGCATCCGCTCGACGTCGTCGCAGTTGGTGGCGTAAGCCGTGGCGATCTGTACTCCCGCGTCGATGGACTTGGTGTGCTTGGTGTGGTTCGTGAGCTTCGCCTTCAGGGGCGCTCCTGGTGTCCACCACTGTACTCCTTTGGCTGCTCCTACGGCTACGTCCTTCTCGGAGTCGAACGGGGGTAGTGGAATCACCACCACCAGTTGGGATGTGAATGGCCGGGGGCCCAGGGTCAAGGCTCCTACTTCGGCACTCACCCTCCCCGGAATAACCTGTTAGTGCTCCAAGTACACAGGCCATTTGAGCGTGGCACTGTCCTCCCATGCAGTGGATCCGAGGTCAAGTGCCGCCGTCATGTCGACTAGCGAGGGGGGGCCGCGGGCGTGTTGCAGCGGGGACTCCTTCCACTTGGTAGCGAAAAAGAAGTCATAGGCGTAGTTGGCCACCTGGGCGCTGTACGTGTCGGCAGCGATCGTTTCGCTGGCATCCTCGAAGTCTCCCGTCTTCTGGTTGCGCACGCGTCCAGATCGTACTGCGTGCGGGGCAGCTGTCCATCCAAGTTTGCTAGAAGCGCTGGCCAGCAAGGCGTTGGACAGAGCGTGTGCTGGATGGTGGTCTCGCCACGGTATGGGTTTCTGCGGTCGCTTCGCTGGCAAAAGGGCGACGCTGTCGGAGTCTCCTGACGGCTTAAAGGAGCCAGGGCCCTTAAAATCCAGGACGCTGTCGTAGTGACGCAGGAAAGCTGCACCCAGAATCAGGCCGAACGGTAGGTCTTGAACGACGCGCACGCGTGCCGTGAAGACGCGGTCTACCGGTGGGAAGATTAGAGGCAGCAGAGCCGTCCCGGTGATTGACATCGGTGGCACTGCGTTCTTAGCGGGATTGGCGGCGTGCAAGAACCCTCGCCCACGCTTGGAGACGATGTTTTTGCCGCCGAACACGTGGCGTTGGACAGCATGGATGAACTTGACGGAAGCGTAGTTTCCTCCTCCCGCGCCAGTGTCCACCAACACTGTGGCCAAGAATCCACTCCTGCGCTTGCGTCGATTCCACACGTAGGCTTTGACGTACGATTGGTGGGATCCTTTCGAGGAGCCCGAGAGGGCCGTGGTGGGAGCGCTAGCCGACCCGCCAAGGGCAGCGGCGGTGACGGGCTCCCGCCTGTGATGCTCTTGTGGTGAGTTCCCCGGGGGTTGGCCTGTGTGGTGACCGTCCCCCAGGGCGCACCTTCAGGCGTCGTCGCCGCCCGCGTCTGGAGTGCTCTGACCTGTGGTTGGCACGTCCTGCGGTGGCACGTCCTCGACCAGTGCGGCGAGGTGGAGGGCCCGCACGGTCGAGGTGGACTCGTAGAAGATCGTGTTCTCGTCGTCCACCATAGCCGTGACGCGTGGTTCCCTCGGGTATGAGTTGAAGGGGATGGGCTCCTCGGCGTGGGAGTAGGGGCAACGCCCTCGCGTGGTCATTCGTTGGCAAACCTCGCCTCGGGCGTGGGAGAAACACACGCGGTGACGCGCAATGTACTCGCTGATGTCGATCTCGGAGCTTTCACCTGAGCGTGGTGCCTCCGCGGGCAATTGCGCCCTGCGGCGGCTCCGAGAGGTGGTGCTTGACCTCCGCCCGTCGTCGGTGGCTCCAGGTGCGTCGTTCGGGGCCTCCCGCTTGCGTGATCCATGTGACGCCGTGTCCGTGGATGCCTCCGAGATGCTCTGGGAGAGCCTCGATCGTGGCTGAGTTGCGCGGTCTTGGAAGCGACTCCGGTTGCTGCCCACGTTGTCGCTGCGGCGCGTGTCGTTCAGGCTGGCCCGGCGGAGGCCGCCCGTCGGCGTGCTGTCTCTGCGTTTGCCGTAGGGGGTGTCCCCGCGAGCCCGTCGGCGACCATCGGCAGTGTCATCCGAGGGCAGGGGTGCGGTGGCGGTCGACCCACCGACGGCTGCGAAGTCGGCGTCGTCGGCGTCGTAGTAGTCGTCGGCTGACCGTTCCTCGTACTCCTGTGCGTTCAGGGTTTGTACCGTCTGTAGTTGTTGCAGCTGGAGGGAGTACGTGTCCTGCTGTGGGGGCCGGCGGTTGGATCTCGTGGTTCCCATGGCGTGGACGGCCGCAGGGGTGGGGTTGCTGACGTAGTTCTTCGCTTCGCTCGTCAGGATGTCGGTGAACCGGTAGAAGCATTGGCGGGCGGCGGCACCCCTGGCCACCATGGCTGGGGAGCCCAGGGCGTGCATGTCCGCCGGGTGGTGTTGCAGGACGATGACGTGCTGCTGGTGTTGTTGAAGGAACACCCCGCGGAACATCGTGCTGTCCTGCGCCGCTGGGCAGCACAGAGCGATGGCTCGGTCGCAAAGGTTGTGCAGGGCCTCCGCCATGATACCCTGCCAGAAATAGTCTTCCTCGGAGAGCGCCGGGCGGTCGGCGTCGGCCATGGCCGCCCCGGAATGTGAGGACCAAGCGGTCAATTGCCGCTATCCATGACTCTCCGGGGAGCAGTTTTATGGTGGCCAAGGCGTGGGCCGCATGGGCTTTCGTTGCCGTGCCGCTGGAGGCTTCGGCTACGAGGTTCCGTAGGCAGTCTAGCGCCGTGTAGTGTTCGTGGGGCACGGTACACTTACGGGTGTTGTTGACGTCGTGCACGACGACAGGCTGTCGTTGGGTGAGCGTCCGGTACACTGCCGAGGTGTCCGGGATGATGCGCTGCAGGAATTGGATGCGCAGGGGGGTCTGCGGGTCCCACTGCGGTAGGCGGGCGCGTTGTCCTGCCACCCACACTTCGCGGTCGCGTTCAAGGTCGAAGAACCCCATGCCGACTACCTTGAGAGACTCCGCGACTTTGCTGAGGAACATCACAGGGTCGTTCCTGTAGTGCAGGGTAGGTGCCGGGGTAGGTAGGGCTCCGGCATATTTTGTCGGACCCGGTGACGTAGAGTCCTTCATGGCGCCGAGGAGTTGGTTAAGTAGCTCCGTACGCTGTTTGAGTTGTGGCCCGCCCGGAAGTTGTGGTTGGTGGTACGCTCCGCCAGCAACGCCTCCACCTTGGTTGGGGGGGGGGTTGTAAGCTCCGCCTCCATGGTAGGCGGGGTTACCGTGAACGGCCGGCTGGTGGTGTTGTCCTTGCGGATACGGTTGATAGCCTTGCTGTTCGGGGAGCGGTGGTTGCACGTACTGAGGGTAGGGTGGCCCGTACTGAGGGTAGAGCTGCCCGTACTGGTAGGGCTGTTGGCCGTGGTGGAGGTAGGGCTGCTGCCCATACTGGTAGGGCTGTTGCCCATACTGGTAGGGCTGTTGCCCATACTGGTAGTGGTGCTGGTACAGCTGAGGGTGGCCGTACTGGTGGTGCGGCTGCAGTAGCTGCTGATGGTGCTGCTGCAGATCAGGTTGGTAAGGTGCGCCATCCTGGTACGCCAGGTGTCCTTGCTGGAGCTGCCCACCTCCCTGCAGGAGAGGAGGGGGCGGCTGCTGCTGGACATTGCCCTGCGGGAGCTGCCCGCCTCCCTGTGGAGGAGGAGGGGGCGGCTGCTGCACGGCGGCCTGCTGGGCCTGTCCGCCTCCCTGTGGAGGGGGAGGGGGCGGCTGCTGCACAGCGGGCTGCTGGGCCTGCCCGCCTCCCTGTGGAGGAGGAGGGGGCGGCTGCTGCGCGGCGGCCTGCTGGGCCTGCCCGCCTCCCGGAGGTGGGGGAGGGGGCGGCTGCTGCTGGCCGTCGCCCTGCTGGTGCTGCAGGGGCAGGCCGACGGGCCCGGCTCCTTGTGGTTGAGGAGGCGGGGGAGGCGGAGGCGGCAGTAGCGCTCCGCCTTGGTGGGCCGGTTGAGCGGCTCCTTGTAGGTTGTTCAGTTGACCTTGTTGCTGGTTCATGGTGACGTCGCGGAGTCGGCGATGCAGCTTGCGAAGTCCAGGTTTCAGGTCGTACCGTCGATCGATGTGGGGACGCCGTGTAGGAAAATGCACGGCGGTGGCCCNACGACGGGCCCGGCTCCTTGTGGTTGAGGAGGCGGGGGAAGCGGAGGCGGCAGTAGCGCTCCGCCTTGGTGGGCCGGTTGAGCGGCTCCTTGTAGGTTGTTCAGTTGACCTTGTTGCTGGTTCATGGTGACGTCGCGGAGTCGGCG